AGCTATCTTTGTTAGAATCTATGGAAATCAACAAATTAAAAAACACAGATATAATTCTGAATGACCAACTTGAGACAAACAGTTCTGCCCTCCTCAACCTATTTCATTAGAGACTATAAATTGTAAACGCATGCCAAAATAGATCACTTGAGAAAGGCAATCAGCCGAAACAGCTGTAGTGATAATAGTTAAAATAAATTTTGTGGAAGTTTGAAAACAAAGTTTTCAGTGTTTTATTGTTACATAAAATGAATTTCCATCAAGTAACGGTCGAATCCATCAATTAATCTGATTTTAATTGGAACTGAAAATATTCTTGAATATTGTCTATAGTGTAAATGGCACAGCCAATACCAGATGGCAATTTTGAGCCATCGGTATAAATTTTACAAGAATGGTTAGAGTCTTCCAGGTTGTTCTGTACTACTAAATCTTCGAGAACAATTGAAATAGATAAAGGAATTACTAGAGCAGGTTTATATTCATATAGTATGTAATAATTGGGCCCAAAAAATGGAATCCCTTCTCCATTGAATGAATATTGTGATGAATTCTGGAAAGCAACAGCTAGAGTTATAGAGTTTTGCCCAGCTAGAGATATTTGCCCAGCATTTGTTTGTTAGATTTTCAACAAAGAGACAAGATATTTTTTGAAATAAGCTGTTTTGATTATTAAACTGGCATTTAAGAATACTCCGACTAGGCGGACTAGCAACTAGAATAGAAGGAGTTCGACAAGGCGACATAATTTTACCTAAACTGTTTACCTTGACCCTCGAAGATATAATAAAATCAACAGATTGGGAAAACAGAGGAATATGTATTAACGGAAAGTACCTAAATCACCTAAGATATGCGGATGATATACTCCCGATCTCCTCGGAACGACAAGAACTGGAATTAATGCTGAATGAACTTCATGAAAAATCACTGCAAAATGCCTAAAAATTAACTTCAACAAAACAAAAGTAATGACAAACACGAAAGCCCAAGAGGCAATAAAAATACAAATAGAAAAAATAGAACAGGTAAATGAGTATATCTATCTAGGACAAGCAATCAGAGCTAACAGAGAAAATCAAACAGTCGAAATATCGAGACGAGTAAGAATTGGATGGGCAGCGTTCGGAAAACTTTCTTACGTTCTAAAAAATCAAACCATCCCTCTATACTTACGAAGCAAGGTATATAACTCCTGTGTAATACCGGTGATCACCTACGGAGCACAGACATGGACATTTACACAGGCCAATTTGAATAGGATAAGGAAGGCACAAAGAGCGATGGAGAGACAAATGTTGGGTATATCACTTAAAGATAAAAAACGTAACCAGTGGATCAGGACCAGAATAAAGACAGTAGACGCGATAGAACAAGCAGCAAAACTGAAATGGAAATGGGCTGGACACAATGAACGTCTCCAAGACGGACGATGGAACAATGCCATCAGAAAGTGGCGTCCATACAATGCAAAGAGATCAAGAGGCAGACCACAGATGAGGTGGAAAGATGACATCAGGAAACAAGGAGGTCCCACATGGCAGAAAACAGCTCAAGATAGGGAAAGACGGAGAGAACTGGGGGAGACGTATATCCAACAAAGGAAGGATAGAGAATACGTTAAAAAAATTAAAGGATACATTTTTCTGCTAAAAATTAACGTCTTAAATTTAAAGGTGGCTCGTTACATTCTGCCAAAAGAGCTGGTGTGGGAGTAGATTTGATAGCTTCTAGGACTAACCTTTGTTTTGTATTCGATCCAATTTAATCAAACGAGATTTTGTCGCTAATCCATAGAAAAGTTTATTTTCGAAAACATAAAATTTTAGTTTTAAGTTTTGGTAACAAATATGAGGCATTACAAATATGCCTAAAAAACGCTGAATTTTCACATTACAAACGATCTCACGGAACAAAAAATGGACTAAGACGGCATTAGATAGAATTTGTAGCAGAGATTGTGTAGTTTTGAAAAACGTACCTGTGCAAACAAAAAGAACGGGTTCTAAACCTTTTAGATTGATGTGAAAGTTAAATTTAGCGTTTTATAGGCATATCTCAAAAATCTCATATTTTTTAAAAATTAGGCTCTAAAAATGAAAATTCCATAGTCACTGGTCAATGGAAGTAATACATTTTACTGATCTTTTGAGAATCATACAAAATGGCAAAAATCGTGCAACCTTTATTTATTTAATAGCTTTATAGAAACTTATTTTATTTTCGCCAAAATGAAAGAAATATACAATCGCTGCACTCTTTACCTTTAAACCCCATTGTAATTTTTGTCGATACGACGCACTGATCAAACTTTTACCTTGGAGATGATACAAATTTAATTTAAAAATTTTTCAGGCGCGTAACAGACATTCAAAATCGTCGGTCGCTTCAAGCGTTGTTTGCGAGAGAACACTTTATTTTATAGAAAAAGTGCTAATAAACATTTCTGTTCAAAATTATTTCAGCTACTCTTTTTGTTTAAAACATTTTTTTTATACGGCGTACAGATTCTTGGTAAATCGATACTTTCCATTTTCCCCCCTAGGGGGGCCGTTTTAGGGGAAAGTCCAAAGTAGAAGTGTTAAACTTTTTTTATTATTTTTTCTGGTCTCCAGAAGTTTGGTTGGGTTGGGTTTATAGAAGTTAAGTGGCATTTTTTTCTGTGACGACTGAAGTATTTATTGATAAAAATAATTAAACAGCCGACGCTCTGGATACCTTTCATTATGCCCTTCCTTTTATATCGTCAATCTATATTTCTTGTCTTGTAAAATTTTTATTAATACTGCTGATTTTTTTATTGTGATACTAAGATCGTCCACTAATGCTCCTAATGACCTATGGTGGTATATTAGGTCTTTAGTATAAATGCTAGATTCTTTTAGAATTTTTTAGAATTAAACTAAAAATACAATAAACAATCAATTACCTTGTTGAAAACCTCCATTGATGTTAAAACTATCGGAAATATGACCTTCTATCGCAACTACGATTACGCTCTTGGTAGGGATGGCGGTTTTTGACAAAACACCGGTTTTCGGTTATACCGGTTTTTTTTTTGCTTACGGTTTAACCTGGCGGTTATAACCGGCCAAAAAAACCGGTTTTTCCAAAAACCGGTTTTCGGTTTTTTTAATCCAAGAGGTTACTAAGTTACATTAACAATGAACTTTAGCTTGCGATACTTCATTCGACTCGATTTCAATATGATCAAAATTAGTACTATCGAAAGAACATTATTACCTATATAAATAAACCACGTTTATGCTTTAAATATGTGACGTAAGAACCAATAGTATCGCCTTCTATTATAAATATGCGGTTTAAAGTTTAAATGTTAAAATGTTTACTAACGAAAGAATGAAAATGAAACTATGTATACATAAAATTTTAAGAGTGGGCGAATGATTTATGGTTAGCAATACGTGCTGATACCCAATGATGTTAATTGTTATGGTTTAGCGATCAAATTACAATTACGAATTTCCGGGATTTCTCATTCTTTGTATTTAATTTTTAAACAATACAGGGAAGTATCAAATAAATTTTAATACAAACGTATTGAAAATAATATCAAATTTTTTGTGATGATAACAAATTTAAACAGTAGATTTCCGAATCGTAAAAAACCTAATAACCTAATAACCGGTTTTTACTTTAAAAATAAAAAACCGGTTATAACCGGGACACAAAAACAACCGATAAAACCGGTTATTGCGAAGTAAAAAAACCGATTTTCGGTTAAAACCGGTAGGTTTTTCCCATCCCTAGCTCTTGGTTTCATTTATTAGACATTAAATAACTCTGGTTCTACTTTCTGTGGAAAATTAAGCATTCTTATGCTTCGCAAAATTTTATATCTGCTTATCATATTACTTGTTTGCCCAAAAGCAGTGGACATGTCTAAGATTATAAGTAGATACTGGTATAAATTACGTATTTGCTATAAATAGCATAGTTTCTATTTGGCGAAATTGCAATTCTGGCTATATAAATTGTGGGTATTAAGATATATTTGATTCTGTAATCGCTATAAAATATAATTTTTGGGCTTTCAGTTTTAAACTTTATAGGATAATTAATAATTTTATAACTTTTTGTGTGCTTATCCATATCTGATTTAATTAGAATCCGGTATTGCTAATCAAATTTGTCACAATCTATATTGTTACGACATAACAGTGTTTCACAATAATGAAAGTCATTATTTGTCTTAAGAGATAATAATTTATGCAAATGGCAGAATAAGAGAAGTTGTATACTTAATTATTATCTTTGATATAATAGGAAAAAACCGCGAATAGATATTTTTCAAATATAAATTTTAATCCAAAGGCTGTTGCTTTCATCTTTCAAGGGTAACACTCATAAAAAAATAGTTCACCGCAATAATAAAGCAAGTAATTATTCTAATCAAATTATTTATTTAAAAAGACAGATTTATTAAGACAGATCAATCATTATGGGAGCAATATTCATGTTAATTAAATTTGAAATACCAATTATCAAATTTTTAATAATTTCATTACCAATCTGGATCCCCGATTAAACTTACACCTTATGGTATCACATCTGTATTGATTTGTTGGCCTTATACGTTGTGTATTTTAGTACTGGTTACTTCTTTTTCTTCGTTTCTCGTTGTTCACCTTTGTCTTACATTAGACGAGATATTTCCTTGTTACTGGCACTAGGTAGTATACTGTTTCTTCTTATTACACTTGAGCAAGAAGTCCCATGCACGAATGAAAATCAGCAACTTTCTAATGGGAGCTTAACCTTTACATGCAATTTTTTTTTTATTTTTGTTGTTATAGGTTTGTGACTACAACTATCTTCTAGTTCCAGTGAAGTAGATTGCTTATTGATTAGTTCTTCAGTAGTGTGATGTTGAGTTGATAGCTATCTTAAGTTTGACAGGGATCATTTTGGCACCACGTCAGTGTTTGTGAAAGTTATACGAAAATGACAAGTCCATCCAAGACAGTACACTTAGCGATATGGAAGACTCAGGTGGCCCTTTAAATAACATTGAAAGTGAGCATGGCACAGATTCAGTATTAGAAGATGATAGTGAGGGAGCTATTGGTGAGTTGTCTCACAAATTCGATTCTTACAATGTGGTAAAGAAGTTAAAAATGGAAGGAGGTATTATGGCGAAAATAAATTTAAGTGGTGGTCACAACCTTTTGTCATAAAGCGAGAACAGAGAAACATAACATAACTTTGCATTTACCAAGACTTTGTGGTGATGTCAAACATTTTGGCAAAAATGCGTCGCCTTTACAAATGTGGAGTTGTCTAATTATTAATACATTTTAGCTGTAATTCTCATATGACGGGGTTATGCACTGTGAATACGGAGAGGGTACAGCCCCGTTCGCATTCGCGGATGACCTCGCTGTACTGGTAGTAGCCCGGGATGAGCCAGATCTCAAATACCGGGTTAGGAACGTAGGTGGCGTCGTAAAGAAATGGATGACGCAGCACGGACTAAAACTTGCGACAGAGAAAACCGAAGCCATTATTCTGAAGGGGACAAGGAACAGGCAAGGTGTTGAATTAAAATGTGCGGGAGTATGTCTAACACCCAAGAAACAAGTAAAATATCTAGGTGTGATATTGCACCAGAATGGAAAATGGGGGGAGCACGTTCGGGAGGTGGTCCGAAAGGCTGCGAATAGTGCGGCTGCGTTGGGAGAGTAATGCCGAACATTGGAGGACTCAAATCCGAAAGGAGGAGGGTCTTACACGGTGTTGTACAGTCTATCGTCCTCTACGCGGCACCAGTCTGGAGTGAGGCGGTAGAGACAACGGCCTATAGGAGTCTTATGAAACGAGTAGACAGAACAAGTCTGTTGCGAGTGGCATGCGCCTACAGGACTATGTCTGCGGCAGCTTTATGGACCATCACTGGATGTGTTCCGTTGCATGTTTTGGCGGATTTATGTTTTTGATCAACAAAGCTAAAAATGCTCTGCATAATTAACTTTCTATAAAGTTTCTCCCAGAGTTTTAAAAACCGATACGAGACACCATGGAGACTGTTAATAGCTTATATTTTGTTTATCAATAGTACATCATCATCATAAGTGGCTTGACAATTCATTGTGGATCTTGGCTTACTCACAAAGAAGTTACCACTCTTGTCGATTCCTGGCAACTTCCCTCCATTTTCTAATCCTTAGAATCTGTAGATCTTCTACCACATCATCAATCCATCTCATTCGTGGTCATCCTCTAATTCCTGTGCCCTCTGGTTTTGAAAATGTTAATCTCTTCCTGTATTCGTGATCTGACATCCTAGCAATTTGTCCAGCCCACCTAAGTCCCTGTACTTTAACGAATTTCACAATATCTGTATCGGTGTATAACTGATATAGTTCAAAGTTGTATCTTCGACGCCATAGCCCATTTTTATCTACGGCCCCAACAATCTTTCTAAGAATTTTTCTCTCAAAAATACCAAGAAGTCTTTATCATTTTGAGATAAGGTCCACGTTTTAGCGTTTTAGCGTGGATCAAAACCGGTCTTAAGGTCTTGTATATATTAAGCTTTACTGAACTTGTTATATTTTAATTTTTTTAATGTTTCTGGAGACTGTAAACAGTTCTGTTCACTATTGCTATGCGTCTTTTTATGTCGTCGCTTGTCGTGTTTGTTGCGTTTACTAGCGATCCAAGATATGTAAATTCTTTGACTTGCTGAAAAGTACGGTTGTTAATTTAAATTCTCTGTTGGATATTTCGAGGGTTTTTAGAAACCAACATATATTTGGTTTTTTCCTCGTTTACCACAAGTCCTAATTCACTTTCTGTATACGCAAGCCTTATAAAACACTGCACTATGTCTCTCATACTTCTTACTACTATAACTATATCGTCAGCGAATGCGAGAATTGGCGTCGATCTATTAAAATTAGTTCCATTCATTCTAATATTTAATTGTCTGATTGCCTTTTCCAATGCAATATTAAAAATCAGGCACGCCAATGCGTCCCCCTGTCTTAGACCATTATTAATGTCAAAGAACTTAGAGATTTCTCCTTCAATTCCAACGCATGAGCTACGTTTTGCATTGTTAATTAGGGCAACTTAACTAACTTAGGTAAAATCCACAAGGCTATCATTGCATTATATAATGCAGTTCTTTTCACACTGTCATAGGATGCTTAAAACTCAATGAAGAGATTGTGTGTATCTATGTTATATTCTAGTGACTTCTCTAGAATCTGCCTATGTGCTTAAATTTGATGTGTAGTTGACTTTCCAGCAGTAAATCCCCATTGATATTGACCAACAATATTCTTTGTAAAATGTTTAAGTCTTTCAAATAATACACTGCCGAAGATTTTATTCGAATTCTGGTGCTATAGACGAATTATAAAGATATCGTGGGTTTCGCACACTTCCAATGAAGATGTTGTTCAAATGATCAATTCAGAACGTCTGCTCATAAACACCATAAAGAGGAGAAAAACAGAATACTTCGGTCATATAATTAGAGGACCTAAATACCATCTACTTCGTCATATAATACAAGGAAAAGTTGAGGAAAACAGACGGATTGGTCGAAATAACCTTTCATGGCTGCGTAATATTAGACAATGGTGTGGTTCCACAGTAGAAGACTTATTTCGCGCAGCAGCCGACCGAGAAAGGTTTTAGGAAATTGTAAACATGATGACGGCCAACATCTGAATACGGACACGGCACCCAAAGAAGAAGAAGAAGATTTTATACGCAGATGCTAACATAGTAGTGCCTCTATAGTTCTTACACTCCAGTTGATCACCCTTTTTATGCAACGGACATATTATTCCCTTCAGCCACTCTTCTGGTACCAATTCATTCTGCCATGTAAGTACTATTAGTTTATGGATTGCTGCAAAAAGTTAATGATCACCTTTTTTATACATTTCCGAACATATTTCATCGATTTATTGTCTTTGAGTTTTAGGATGGCATTTGACACTTCTTCTTTGTTGGATCTTCACTGTGTAGTTGATGTTGTAGATTGTGTTGATTCTTTATGTAACCTCCTTCAATATTCAATATGTTGTAACCTAGTTTATATTTAGATGTTCGCTGAAATGTTGTGCCCATCTGTTAAGAACTGAGTTTTTATCATGTAGAAATTTACCGTTAGTGTCTTTACAAATTTTTAAAATAAATTCTCGACGGCTAGTATTTAAGGATTTGTAGTATTTCCTCGTTTCATCTTTATCGAATAAACTTTGTATCTCACTGAGAGTGTTCTGTCCATATTCCATCTTCTTACGTCGATGGATGCGTTTTTCCTCTCTTCTATACAAGACGTCTATACTCTTCTTTTTTTTTTCTCCGTGTACAAACTGCGTCAATGGTTTTTTGATATGCTGCGTTCCTTCTATTTCTGGCCATTTCGCACTCATGATCAAACCAATATAGTACATACCTGTCTTAAATCTACAATTTCCTTAAATTTACATTTTACCCAGAAGGATAAAGACAAAGTCCATATGACTTTTAAACACATACAAAAAAATCATATATAATATGTGAATATAATTTACAATCTACGTATATAAATAACACATTTTCAAAAATTTTAGTTATTCTATAGTTTCTCGTACTTATACAAATAATTGTTATACTTAAATAATGCACATGTGATGGGACAGATAATATGCACAATAACTTAATATCCCTTATATTTAACTGATTAAATATTTTTAAAACATTTTTTATCTAGTACTAACATTAAATATTTGATCTGGTAATTTTGGTAATTATTAATAGACTTCTAGGTTATTTAAGTAGAAATATTTAATACCTTAATTAAATTAATTTATATTTAGCGTACCTATAACAAAAAATTGTATTACTCAACATATAAGAGTGCTAGTAAAGGGGAAAGTGAATTAAATGAAACAGGTAAGACAACAATCTAGTTTCTCATGTAGTCATTGTAAATACAATTTAACATTTGTATATATACCATTCTGTATTATTTAATAATCGTTGTATTTTAAGATATACCCATTTTAAAAGTTAAATAATAAAAACTGTAGGTAATGTGTTAATATTCTGTACATAACTAGGTATATTAATTTTGGAAAGGAAAATTTTTTGTTGTAATATTATTGGGGTATTCTAACGTTATATATATTTATTATAGAGAGTGGGTAACTAAATACAGCTAACTCTGATATTTAGATACGTCCATTAGGTTTTTTTTTTTTTTTTTTTTTTTTTTTTTATTTCGACTTTAACGTGCTCGGCTGCTATGGCCACTTACACAGGTACTATAACATGAGTTTTCATTATACAAACAATAAATGTTACATTAAGAATATGTTACAATAATACGGAATGATAATAATATGTTGCACAATGTCTAAATTAAAATCTAATTATATTTTTTGATATAAGTGTTCATCTCTAAGGAATTGTAGCACAGCTTTTATTTGGTCAGGGTCGCTTAGGATATCTCGTACTTCACTTTTGAGTTTGTATTGTAATCTTCTGGCCGAATGTTGATGGCATTCAGTGAGAATATGTTTGATTGTCAAATATGATTGGCAGCTTTGACAGGAGGGACGGATGCTAGAGGACATTAGGTAGCCGTGAGTGAGTTTTGAATGTCCTATCCGAAGTCGTCTTATCACAATGAGATCTCGTCTTGACAGGGCTGAATAGTCAAATGTAGGCTGACTGGTTATTGACGGTTGTATTTCGTGTAAGATCGAACGGTTATAGTTCCAATGCTGCTGCCAAAGGAGTCTGGTTCTTCTTTTAGTATATAATTTTAGGTCCTTACAAATTTGAATTTTATCGGTGATTTCAGGTGATGCTGTAGCAAGTTTAGCATAGTGATCTGCAGTTTCATTGCCTTCTATACCAATATGAGATGGCAGCCAAATTATGGTAACTGTTATGTTTTGGGACAAGATAATTTGGTAAGAGTCTAGGATCTTTTGGACGATTGGATGATCGGTAAATATATTTTTGATAGAATGGATTGATGCTAAAGAGTCTGTGCATATGGCAACCTGCTTATTAAGTGGAGATATGTGGTTGAAAGCTTGCAATATACTAAATAATTCGCCAGTATGAACGCTGCTAACGGATGGTATAAGTG